TAAAAAAAATTAGATTATAAATTAATTTTTGTGAACGAATTCCCAAAATTAGAGAAACTACACATGGATTAGTAGCTGCATAAGGTAAGGATGGAATGTATCCAGATTAGCGTTTCTCAGCGATCATTTGGCGAAGATTTTCCGAATGTAAAATTAATTTCGCGTATTAATATTACTCAAAATTTGTAAATAAGGAATATAGCCCCTGGACCTTGTCTGACTGACGAATGACATGGACCATTGGAATGGCCTCCTGAGTCTTCTATCCGCATATGCGAAAGAAATAGCGAGCTGTAAAAGCTAAGAGATAGGTTAACAGCGTTGTCTGTATTGTGCTTATTTGTCGAATGTTTTTATATTGAAATAACCTCAACACCTGCATGTGGATTCACAGATTTGATGCAGTCAACTGATAAGCTGACGAGCTATTGAAAAAGCTACTCCCGCAAATTATTCGATCGAGACTAGAAGCTTCGTTTATTCTTTTGCGTTGCAAAACTTGACGAATGATACCCAGGATACTTTCTTGATCTGCAGATTCTTAAACCATTATCAGCAATACTGGCAGTTATGGTTCATTTTTCGTTCGCCCTCGTCTGCTTATGTTAGGTGCAACAACACTTTTCATTTCCTATAAGTTAAGAATGCTGAAGGTATCGATTCTCCGTAAGAGAATGAAAATTCACCCATGTGTCTACGGATACTATTCGTTCATTGTCGTAGCCCCCTATTTCTTTCTGGTTGCGGTGGCAGCAGCAGTTTTTTGCTGATCAGTCAAGCGTTCCCGGCGGAATTACAAGGTTCAGCAACGCCAGGTGCCCAATTAGCTGTAGAATCTGACCGTCGATTTGTTCTTGACGATTTACTATGTCGTTTAGCCAGTTTATTCACTGGCATTCTGATAGAGTGTCCCAGAGGTCACCAAAGCAATGGCGTTCTCTAGATTTGGAGAGTTAGTAGTTTAGTAGCAACGGTATTTCACATTGCATATGCCGTTGATCTATTCAAGCCTTAAGGCGCTGACAGTATTTCGAAAGAACCCCATTTCTCTCTCTTGTTACCAGGGCAGACTCTTTCGGTCAGTACCCAGCATACCCAGCAATTATGAAAATGCGTGATGACATGCGTCTCGACATAACTATTGATAACTACGGACTAATGCTCAGCTCGTTCTTTTTCAGCGTAGACTGGTTTAACGTCCTCATTTCTGTGATTAACAAACAGTCGGGTATCTGTATTGCTAAGTATTGAATGGCATCGCTCGTAAATACTGCTCATATTGTTATTCGTCACGCGCTCATTAGCGGAATTTAGCGCTGATTCTGGGTGACATAGAATTCTTGTTATTGGCATCATAACACACCTCTAAACAATCGATAAGGATTTCAAGCCTCCCTGTATTTGCTGCCTTCACTTTCGGAACCAGTTTTGAGTCACCTACTTTTGCCTGCCTGTATGTAATAACTGCAGCAAAAGTATTTAAAATATTTAAGTTTTGCTGAGTCTGTCCAAGAGCCCTTCCGCTTATGCATGAGTGCACTTTTAAGAACTGTTGGAAGATCGCACAAAAGTTCTCATTCCTGGAATTCAGAACATTTAAAAGGCCGCCTTGTTTTCAAAGAAAGCCACGTTTGAAAATGAAAAAACATTTGCCTACCAGAATGAGTTTCAATTTTCTGACTCTCTGCGTTGCAAGATTTTCAAACTAATGTGCTGTTGCACTAATGGGTAATTGTGTGAATTTGTTTTATGAATGTTTTTTCCTAGTTGTAAATTGCGCGTTTGCTCGAAAACTGTTTTGCCTTTTTTTGCGAACGTGCTGAGTTTCATCGGTCATCAATTCTTTCACAGAATCCTTTTTTGTGGATTAACTAAATTACTTTTTTACCAGAAAAACGTGGAGACCCATGTTTCGAATAGTTTCGACTGCATAGCACTAACCCTTTGCGTTCGGATCGTCTACCACTTCCAAGCACTGGCTATCGAGCGCCACGTGACCGCCACTGATGGGTACTGTATGTGCTTGTGTGAACGCTGCTGAAAGACAGGCGTTTCTGTCATAGGCTGTGGGAAGCTCTGTTGAAGATATTGCTGTCACGATTGAACTTTCTGTTCAAGATAAACGCTGAGAGCTTGCGCAACACGGACATCCCGAAGCTTCTGCCGTTGGACAAGCGGCCTCACTATGTAAGCTTGAAAGTGCTGAATGATTATGTTTCTAACACCGTTTAAAAATTAAGTTTTACTTCTTCAGATTTCATAAGTCGTAATAAAACTTATGTCAGTTGATGAAAAATGTGGCATTTTGGCGTTGTTTAATTCACTATTTATTTTTTCTGCATTTTAAGCAACAAAACACGCAGCTGCATGAAGTGCACATTGTGACTCAGTCAGATTGATTGATGAGATTTTTAGGCCTTTGCGAAATGGAACTGCTTCGATTTTGCATGCATTAGCGATAATTTAGGTCTTTTCCGGTGGACGTCCTAATTCAGCGGGGAGGCTCCGAGGTTACAAAGCCAGAAACAAGCCTCCTGAACCTTTTCTTTAAACTATCAACTTGTAAAATTGGATGCGCCCATGCGGACAAATGAAGAACTGCATAATTCAAACGTCCTACCGGCCAAGATTTTTGGGTCTGAATGTTGATCTGCTGCTTAAGCCGAATAGAAGAAACTGATTGTAACGTAATGAGCAACAGAGTGAAACAAGGGCAAAGTGTCCTTTCGAAATCACGTTCCGAGAGCACAAATTCAGCAACGGACTAGATTGGATACGCTATACCAGTCTTCTGGAGTTGAAAGTTGAACGGCTACCCGATGAACATCTTTAAAGAAGGCTTGACGAGGTTGTCTAAACAAAGGGCGTCTACCAGCTCACCTGATCACAAGACCT